CTTAATTGTTTAAGATCGCTAATTACACTTAAGTGGGATTTTCCAGAAACACATCCACTTTGGATTGGTTGGTTAATGGTACAGCGCTTCTTGCAGGCGTGCGTTCGATTCCCGATGGCCTAAGTGGTTGGGAAGCGTTCCTCATATCCCACCTCCTTATCCAGTCACCGCTCCTCATCCTCCTTCCCAACTCCTTGTCCTCATATCCCAGCTCCTGGACCTGAGAGCCCTTCCAAGTGGTAGGGGGTAGCAGGGGTGGTGGTGACGAGTGGTGTCTTGTCTCTCTCTCTCTCTCTCTCTCTCTCTCTCTCTCTCTCTCTCTCTCTCTCTCTCTCTCTCTCTCTCTCTCTCTCTCTCTCTCTCTCTCTCTCTCTCTCTCTCACACACTCACTCCTGTACCCAATAAACATCATCGTCAGTGAAAGGCCTCGTCTCTTCACTCCATGATAACACTTCAACAATGGAAGATATGCTAAACAAAACTCGTAATTGAGGATGACTCGAGAACCAATGGCAAGCCTGCATACGCGACCCTTGACCGACGACGACCTCCCGACAACTTCCTGATGACCTAAGGACAGTAGGGGGATGAAATCCCGACGATCAAGCATAACCTGCCGAACAATAACCTTCCCTTTGGCAACCCAAGACGACCAGCAGCAAGCGGACGACAGCGACGACCCCAGCCCGAGGCAACATTTACGACAGGCCTGGCAGGCGAGTTACGACATCTGATCAACTCGCTCGGGGGGGAATGGCGGCCGACCTGAGTAATGAAACGACCCCGGAACACCAATTAGGCAATCTTGGCCATTTGTCGTCCACCCTCGACCACCACTGTGGAGGAGGGAGAACGGTTGAGGAGAAGGAGGTGTTACAGCGAGTGGCAGACAGAGAAGAGATTGAAGAAGAACGGGACGAGCAAAATACAAGAATGGTGTGTTCTGAATCCCTCTCTCTCAGGCTTGCTCTCGCTGTTCATGCACGCAAGCACACACACACGCACATACACACACACACACACACACACACACACACACACACACACACACACACACACACACACACGCACACACACACACACACACACACACACACACACACACACACACACACACACACACACACACACACACACACACACACACACGGACACAAGAGGCAGGACAGAAAACAGCATCCCCCAAGAGAGTGTAAAAGTAATGATGTCGAATTTCCAATATCAGTGACTCAGCAATATTGGAAACGCAGTCTTCGTCTCGACAAAATCAGGAGAAAATGTGGACATACCAACCTTGACATTTAAGACGCCCCGGACATGTCTCGTGCTGGTCTTGGGTCATACGTAAGACGTACCATTGGTGGCCGCGATAACACGTCACATACGGGTTACATATGGTGAATGTTAAGCAGCTCAGACATGGTATCAAGTCCCTTTTACACGTAATTTGCTCTCTTGCATCACTGATGATAGAGCTTAGGGATAAGTAGAGATGGCTCTTACATAGAGTTTGTTCTCATCTTTTCATGTCAACATCAACCAAAAGATATTATAAAGTTTAATGTTTAAACTTGATGTTTAGAGAAATGTGAAATGTTTAGGGTCTAAAGTTCTAAACTAACATAACTTTCAATGATAGGAAATGTGCTGCGACTATTTGTAACTCATTAGAAAAGCATTATCCAAATCTTGAACTCAAATTGCTAGGCCACATTAATTCCAGTTAAGTGCTCTGAGAAGTATCTGGGTCGAGTTACATCCTCAAAGGGACCACTTATAAACTTTTTCCTTGCCATTAAAGACAGGTAATTCAGACCGAATGTTATAGTGAGTAGACGAGGACATCTTGACCTTTGGAGTAGACGAGGACATCTTGGCCTTTGGAGTAGACGAGGACATCTTGGCCTTTGGAGTAGACGAGGACATGTTGACCTTTGGAGTAGACGAGGACATCTTGGCCTTTGGAGTAGACGAGGACATCTTGGCCTTTGGAGTAGACGAGGACATCTTGGCCTTTGGAGTAGACGAGGACATCTTGACCTTTGGAGTAGACGAGGACATCTTGGCCTTTGGAGTAGACGAGGCCATCTTGACCTTTGGAGTAGACGAGGACATCTTGGCCTATGGAGTAGACGAGGACATGTTGACCTTTCGAGTAGACGAGGACATGTTGACCTTTGGAGTAGACGAGGACATGTTGACCTTTGGAGTAGACGAGGACATCTTGACCTTTGGAGTAGACGAGAACATCTTGACCTTTGGAGTAGACGAGGATATCTTGACTTTTGGAGTACACGAGGACATCTTGACCTTTGGAGTAGACGAGGACATCTTGACCTTTGGAGTAGACGAGGACATCTTGGCCTTTGGAGTAGACGAGGACATGTTGACCTTTGGAGTAGACGAGGACATCTTGACCTATGGAGTAGACGAGGACATGTTGACCTTTGGAGTAGACGAGGACATGTTGACCTTTGGAGTAGACGAGGACATGTTGACCTTTGGAGTAGACGAGGACATCTTGACCTTTGGAGTAGACGAGGACATGTTGACTTTTGGAGTAGACGAGGACATCTTCTCCTTTGGAGTAGACGAGGACATGTTGACCGTTGGAGTAGACGAGGACATCTTGACCTTTGGAGTAGACGAGGACATGTTGACCTTTGGAGTAGACGAGGACATCTTGACCTTTGGAGTAGACGAGGACATCTTGACCTTTGGAGTAGACGAGGACATCTTGACCTTTGGAGTAGACGAGGACATCTTGGCCTTTGGAGTAGACGAGGACATCTTGACCTTTGGAGTAGACGAGGACATCTTGACCTTTGGAGTAGACGAGGACATCTTGACCTTTGGAGTAGACGAGGACATCTTGACCTTTGGAGTAGACGAGGACATCTTGACCTTTGGAGTAGACGAGGACATCTTGACCTTTGGAGTAGACGAGGACATCTTGACCTTTGGAGTAGACGAGGACATCTTGACCTTTGGAGTAGACGAGGACATCTTGACCTTTGGAGTAGACGAGGACATCTTGACCTTTGGAGTAGACGAGGACATCTTGACCTTTGGAGTAGACGAGGACATCTTGACCTTTGGAGTAGACGAGGACATCTTGACCTTTGGAGTAGACGAGGACATCTTGACCTTTGGAGTAGACGAGGACATCTTGACCTTTGGAGTAGACGAGGACATCTTGACCTTTTGGAGTAGACGAGGACATCTTGACCTATGGAGTAAACGAGGACGTCTTGACCTTTGGAGTAGACGAGGACATCTTGACCTTTGGAGTAGACGAGGACATCTTGACCTTTGGAGTAGACGAGGACATCTTGACATATGGAGTAGACGAGGACATCTTGACCTTTGGAGTAGACGAGGACATCTTGACCTTTGGAGTAGACGAGGACATCTTGACCTTTGGAGTAGACGAGGACATCTTGACCTTTGGAGTAGACGAGGACATCTTGACCTTTGGAGTAGAGTAGACGAGGACATCTTGACCTTTGGAGTAGACGAGGACATCATCTTGACCTTTGGAGTAGATGAGGACATCTTGACCTTTGGAGTAGACGAGGACATCTTGACATCTTGACCTTTGGAGTAGACCTTTGGAGAGACGAGGACATCTTGACCTTTGGAGTAGACGAGGACATCTTGACCTTTGGAGTGAACGAGGACTTCTTGACCTATGGAGTAGACGAGGACGTCTTGACCTTTGGAGTAGACGAGGACATCTTGACCTTTGGAGTAGACGAGGACATCTTGACCTTTGGAGTAGACGAGGACATCTTGACCTTTGGAGTAGATGAGGACATCTTGACCTTTGGAGTAGACGAGGACATCTTGACCTTTGGAGTAGATGAGGACATCTTGACCTTTGGAGTAGACGAGGACTTCTTGACCTTTGGAGTAGACGAGGACATCTTGAGCTTTGGAGTAGACGAGGACATCTTGACCTTTGGAGTAGATGAGGACATCTTGACCTTTGGGGTAGACGAGGACATCTTGACCTTTGGAGTAGATGAGGACATCTTGACCTTTGAAGTAGACGAGGACATCTTGACCTTTGGAGTAGATGAGGACATCTTGACCTTTGGAGTAGACGAGGACTTCTTGACCTTTGGAGTAGACGAGGACTTCTTGACCTTTGGAGTAGACGAGGACATCTTGACCTTTGGAGTAGACGAGGACATCTTGACCTTTGGAGTAGATGAGGACATCTTGACCTTTGGAGTAGATGAGGACATCTTGACCTTTGGAGTAGACGAGGACATCTTGACCTTTGGAGTAGACGAGGACATCTTGACCTTTGGATGAAAGTTCATTTCGCAGTGTCCCAGTTTATATGACTGTGAACTATGGGACAAGCAAGAGGGTGAATTTAGCAAGTTGAATTATGTGCAGAGGAAATGTCCCAAACGAACCTGTAGTGTCCATCTTCGTACACGTTGCTGCATGTCGCTTGATCTAACGCCCACAACTACAGTCTAGGAAATCATTCATAAATCATCTCAATATATCTAAAGCACATATGTTTTATCGTGATAACAGCAATAGCTCTTTCAGAAATTCCATTATCACCGGCCTATCATTGCTAAAGCATTCTCAGCAACACCTCACTCCCCCGTAGACAATGATAGGTAACTCCTAATAGGTAAGTACAGAGAACAATACCTCCTCCTCCTTCCTCTGTTTCCTCCTTCCTCTGTTTCCTCCTTCCTCTGTTTCCTCCTTCCTCTGTTTCCTCCTTCCTCTGTTTCCTCCCTCCATGTCCTCCCTCCTCAACCCTCTCCACCACTCACCAACTGCACAGGATTTCAAATTCATTCCAGAAAGTTTTTGTAAAAGTTGAGGACCTGCTGCATATATACTCTTGGAGTCCTTTGAAGGGCGGAGAATTATTTCTAGCGGTGCCGGGCTTCCCATTGACGGAGCCGCCGTGTCTGGCCTCTAGTTGGGCACCGTCTTCACGGATCACAGACAGCTGTTAGAACTCTCAGCTGCTGCTTACTAGCACCGGGTGACTAGTTGGGGAAGTTACTAGCACCGGGTGACTAGTTGGGGAGGTTACTAGCACCGTGTGACTAGTTGGGGAGGTTACTAGCACCGGGTGACTAGTTGGGGAGGTTACTAGCACCGTGTGACTACTTGGGGAGGTTACTAGCACCGGGTGACTAGTTGGGGAGGTTACTAGCACCGGGTGACTAGTTGGGGAGGTTACTAGCACCGTGTGACTAGTTGGGGAGGTTACTAGCACCGGGTGACTAGTTGGGGAGGTTACTAGCACCGGGTGACTAGTTGGGGAGGTTACTAGCACCGGGTGACTAGTTGGGAAGGTTACTAGCACCGGGTGACTAGTTGGGAAGGTTACTAGCACCGGGTGACTAGTTGGGAAGATTACTAGCACCGGGTGACTAGTTGGGAAGATTACTAGCACCGGGTGACTAGTTGGGAAGGTTACTAGCACCGGGTGACTAGTTGGGGAGGTTACTAGCACCGGGTGACTAGTTGGGGAGGTTACTAGCACCGGGTGACTAGCTGGGAAGGTTACTAGCACCGGGTGACTAGCTGGGGAGGTTACTAGCACCGGGTGACTAGCTGGGGAGGTTACTAGCACCGGGTGACTAGCTGGGGAGGTTACTAGCACCGGGTGACTAGTTGGGAAGGTTACTAGCACCGGGTGACTAGCTGGGGAGGTTACTAGCACCGGGTGACTAGTTGGGAAGGTTACTAGCACCGGGTGACTAGTTGGGGAAGTTACTAGCACCGGGTGACTAGTTGGGGAGGTTACTAGCACCGGGTGACTAGTTGGGGAGGTTACTAGCACCGGGTGACTAGCTGGGAAGGTTACTAGCACCGGGTGACTAGCTGGGAAGGTTACTAGCACCGGGTGACTAGTTGGGGAGGTTACTAGCACCGGGTGACTAGCTGGGGACGTTACTAGCACCGGGTGACTAGTTGGGAAGGTTACTAGCACCGGGTGACTAGCTGGGGAGGTTACTAGCACCGGGTGACTAGCTGGGGACGTTACTAGCACCGGGTGACTAGTTGGGGAAGTTACTAGCACCGGGTGACTAGTTGGGAAGGTTACTAGCACCGGGTGACTAGTTGGGGAAGTTACTAGCACCGGGTGACTAGTTGGGGAAGTTACTAGCACCGGGTGACTAGTTGGGGAGGTTACTAGCACCGGGTGACTAGTTGGGGAGGTTACTAGCACCGGGTGACTAGTTGGGGAGGTTACTAGCACCGGGTGACTAGTTGGGGAGGTTACTAGCACCGGGTGACTAGTTGGGGAAGTTACTAGCACCGGGTGACTAGTTGGGGAAGTTACTAGCACCGGGTGACTAGTTGGGGAGGTTACTAGCACCGGGTGACTAGTTGGGGAAGTTACTAGCACCGGGTGACTAGTTGGGGAAGTTACTAGCACCGGGTGACTAGTTGGGGAGGTTACTAGCACCGTGTGACTAGTTGGGGAGGTTACTAGCACCGGGTGACTAGTTGGGGAGGTTACTAGCACCGGGTGACTAGTTGGGGAGGTTACTAGCACCGGGTGACTAGTTGGGGAGGTTACTAGCACCGGGTGACTAGTTGGGAAGGTTACTAGCACCGGGTGACTAGTTGGGAAGGTTACTAGCACCGGGTGACTAGTTGGGGAGGTTACTAGCACCGGGTGACTAGCTGGGAAGGTTACTAGCACCGGGTGACTAGTTGGGAAGATTACTAGCACCGGGTGACTAGTTGGGAAGGTTACTAGCACCGGGTGACTAGTTGGGGAGGTTACTAGCACCGGGTGACTAGTTGGGGAGGTTACTAGCACCGGGTGACTAGCTGGAAAGGTTACTAGCACCGGGTGACTAGCTGGGAAGGTTACTAGCACCGGGTGACTAGCTGGGGAGGTTACTAGCACCGGGTGACTAGCTGGGGAGGTTACTAGCACCGGGTGACTAGTTGGGAAGGTTACTAGCACCGGGTGACTAGTTGGGGAGGTTACTAGCACCGGGTGACTAGCTGGGAAGGTTACTAGCACCGGGTGACTAGTTGGGGAAGTTACTAGCACCGGGTGACTAGTTGGGGAGGTTACTAGCACCGGGTGACTAGTTGGGGAGGTTACTAGCACCGGGTGACTAGCTGGGAAGGTTACTAGCACCGGGTGACTAGCTGGGAAGGTTACTAGCACCGGGTGACTAGCTGGGGAGGTTACTAGCACCGGGTGACTAGCTGGGGAGGTTACTAGCACCGGGTGACTAGTTGGGAAGGTTACTAGCACCGGGTGACTAGCTGGGGAGGTTACTAGCACCGGGTGACTAGCTGGGGACGTTACTAGCACCGGGTGACTAGTTGGGGAAGTTACTAGCACCGGGTGACTAGTTGGGAAGGTTACTAGCACCGGGTGACTAGTTGGGGAAGTTACTAGCACCGGGTGACTAGTTGGGGAAGTTACTAGCACCGGGTGACTAGTTGGGGAGGTTACTAGCACCGGGTGACTAGTTGGGGAGGTTACTAGCACCGGGTGACTAGTTGGGGAGGTTACTAGCACCGGGTGACTAGTTGGGAAGGTTACTAGCACCGGGTGACTAGTTGGGGAAGTTACTAGCACCGGGTGACTAGTTGGGGAAGTTACTAGCACCGGGTGACTAGTTGGGGAGGTTACTAGCACCGGGTGACTAGTTGGGGAAGTTACTAGCACCGGGTGACTAGTTGGGGAAGTTACTAGCACCGGGTGACTAGTTGGGGAGGTTACTAGCACCGGGTGACTAGTTGGGGAAGTTACTAGCACCGGGTGACTAGTTGGGGAAGTTACTAGCACCGGGTGACTAGTTGGGGAAGTTACTAGCACCGGGTGACTAGTTGGGGAAGTTACTAGCACCGGGTGACTAGTTGGGGAGGTTACTAGCACCGGGTGACTAGTTGGGGAAGTTACTATATAGCACCGGGTGACTAGTTGGGGAAGTTACTAGCACCGGGTGACTAGTTGGGGAAGTTACTAGCACCGGGTGACTAGTTGGGGAAGTTACTAGCACCGGGTGACTAGTTGGGGAAGTTACTAGCACCGGGTGACTAGTTGGGGAGGTTACTAGCACCGGGTGACTAGTTGGGAGGTTACTAGCACCGGGTGACTAGTTGGGGAGGTTACTAGCACCGGGTGACTAGTTGGGGAAGTTACTAGCACCGGGTGACTAGTTGGGGAAGTTACTAGCACCGGGTGACTAGTTGGGGAAGTTACTAGCACCGGGTGACTAGTTGGGGAAGTTACTAGCACCGGGTGACTAGTTGGGGAAGTTACTAGCACCGGGTGACTAGCTGGGGAGGTTACTAGCACCATGCGACTAGCTGGGGACGTTACTAGCACCGGGTGACTAGCTGGGGAGGTTACTAGCACCGGGTGACTAGTTGGGGAAGTTACTAGCACCGGGTGACTAGCTGGGGAGGTTACTAGCACCATGTGACTAGCTGATGGTAGACTAGTGGCGTAGATTTTTAAGGACTTTGAGAAACATCTTTTAATAATTGAGAGTAACGCCTGAAGGGGGCTAGTTTTGAGGCCTAAGACTGGGTCTTAGTTTAGAAGACTGAGGTGAGGCAAATTTTGGCCAGAGATGGTAGGGATATTTTATTATAGACCTGAGAGGCCTAACATAGGCTTCATTTATAGACCTCAAAGAGGACAAAATTCAGGACTTTAATAAATAAGTTTCTAGCACTTTAGCACTTAATTACAAACTTAGCGACAACGATACACGATTGGAAGATTAATTACAATGAACAAAATAATTTGGGATTTAGAGGATTTGTTTTTACTGTTTAAAAAGGGCCAATTGAAGAGACTAGATTCTGTGAGTGGAACTGTACCCATTGCCAGTGCAGGCCACAGCAACCTGGCGGAACAGCAATAATTGATCCCACACATGAATGTGACGACGGTTCCGTCCGTCCTTAGCCAAAGTTCATCAAGCATTTACACAACCACTTACGAAACCTTTGCATCTTTCCTCAATCATGGTGGCTTTTGCTTACATTTATTAAACAGTTTAAATGCGTCAACAACCTCACATTGCACGATTATTGGTGTAAACAACCTCACACTGCAAGATTATGGGTGTAAACAACCTCATATTGCAAAGTTATTAGTGTAAACAACATCATATTGCAAGATTATTGGTGTAAACAACCTCACACTGCAAGATTATGGGTGTAAACAACCTCATATTGCAAGATTATTGGTGTAAACAACCTCATATTGTAAGATTATTGGTGTAAACAACCTCATATTGCAAGATTATTGGTGTAAACAACCTCATATTGTAAGATTATTGGTGTAAACATCCTCATATTGCAAGATTATTGGTGTAAACAACCTCGTACTGCAAGATTATTGGTGTAAACAACCTCACACTGCCAGATTATTGGTGTAAACAACCTCACACTGCAAGATTATTGGTGTAAACAACCTCATATTGCAAGATTATTGGTGTAAACAACCTCATATTATAAGATTTTTGGTATAAACAACCTCGCACTGCAAGATTATTGGTGTAAACAACCTCACACTCCAAGATCATTGGTGTATTAAACCTCACAGTGCAAGATTATGGGTGTAAACAACCTCATATTGCAAGATTATTGGTGTAAAGAACCTCACACTGCAAGATTATGGGTGTAAACAAACCTCGCACTGCAAGATTATTGGTGTAAACAACCTCATATTGTAAGATTATTGGTGTAAACAACCTCATATTGTAAGATTATTGGTGTAAACAACCTCATATTGCAAGATTATTGGTGTAAACAACCTCATATTGTAAGATTATTGGTGTAAACAACCTCATATTGCAAGATTATTGGTGTAAACAACCTCGCACTGCAAGATTATTGGTGTAAACAACCTCACACTGCAAGATTATTGGTGTAAACAACCTCATATTGTAAGATTATTGGTGTAAACAACCTCATATTGCAAGATTATTGGTGTAAACAATCTCATATTGCAAGATTATGGGTGTAAACAACCTCATATTGCAAGATTATTGGTGTAAAGAACCTCACACTGCAAGATTATGGGTGTAAACAACCTCATATTACAAGATTATTGGTGTATAGAACCTCACACTGCAAGATTATGGGTGTAAACAAACCTCGCACTGCAAGATTATTGGTGTAAACAACCTCACACTGCAAGATTATGGGTGTAAACAACCTCACACTGCAAGATTATTGGTGTAAACAACCTCACACTGCAAGATTATGGGTGTAAACAACCTCATATTGCAAGATTATTGGTGTAAAGAACCTCACACTGCAAGATTATGGGTGTAAACAACCTCATATTGCAAGATTATTGGTGTAAACAAACCTCGCACTGCAAGATTATGGGTATAAACAACCTCACACTGCAAGATTATTGGTGTAAACAACCTCACACTGCAAGATTATGGGTGTAAACAACCTCATATTGCAAGATTATTGGTGTAAAGAACCTCACACTGCAAGATTATGGGTGTAAACAACCTCATATTGCAAGATTATTGGTGTAAACAAACCTCGCACTGCAAGATTATGGGTATAAACAACCTCACACTGCAAGATTATTGGTGTAAACAACCTCATATTGTAAGATTATTGGTGTAAACAACCTCATATTGCAAGATTATTGGTGTAAACAACCTCGCACTGCAAGATTATTGGTGTAAACAACCTCACACTGCCAGATTATTGGTGTAAACAACCTCACACTGCAAGACTATTGGTGTAAACAACCTCATATTGCAAGATTATTGGTGTAAACAACCTCATATTATAAGATTTTTGGTGTAAACAACCTCGCACTGCAAGATTATTGGTGTAAACAACCTCACACTCCAAGATTATTGGTGTAAACAACCTCACAGTGCAAGATTATTGGTGTAAACAATCTCATATTGCAAGATTATTGGTGTAAACAACCTCACACTGCAAGATTATGGGTGTAAATAACCTCATATTGCAAGATTATTGGTGTAAACAACCTCATATTGCCAGATTATTGGTGTAAACGAACCTCGCACTGCAAGATTACGGGTATAGACAACCTCACACTGCAAGATTATTGGTGTAAACAACTTCACAGTGCTTTGGCGTTCATGAAGTGTTTAATAGATATTAACAAAGCCGCCTTGGTTGAGGAAAGATGTACAGGTTTCGCAAGTGAAAACGTAACCAATCCTGCCTCCAGCCGTAACGACTTCTATCACTTTTCCTGCCTGTCCTCAGGTCAGGGTGGTCCAGGTGGCAAACGAACCCGAGGATGAACTGCGTGTTCAAAATGTGTATTGTCTCAAATGTCATGTTATGTAATATGTGTGTTCCTGCTACATAACCTTAGTGATATTCAGTGCACACTACACATTTGTGCACAGTGCACAAATGTGTACAACATCAGCTGTGAGTCAGTTCCTGAACCAATTATGTGCCTCTGTAACCCTTTACACCACCGCCCACCGGATGGGTATGGGTTATCTTGAGGTTATCTTGAGATGATTTCGGGGCTTTTAGTGTCCCCGCGGCCCGGTCCTCGACCAGGCCTCCACCCCCAGGAAGCAGCCCGTGACAGCTGACTAACTCCCAGGTACCTATTTACTGCTAGGTAACAGGGGCATTCAGGGTGAAAGAAACTTTGCCCATTTGTTTCTGCCTCGTGCAGGAATCGAACCCGCGCCACAGAATTACGAGTCCTGCGCGCTACCAACCAGGCTACGAGGCCCCGTAGGGTGGTTTATGGGGTGCATAATAAAGAAAGAAATTGAAAGAAGCTGTGAGTTCTCGGTAAAGTGGTGTTTATTCATAAACGGTGGGAGTGGGGGCACGGGGTTGACGGCTGGATTAATGAGCGGTTGGCCGTTGTTCACCAGGGGCCAGATTCACGAAATCTCTTACTCAAGCACTTACGAACGTGTACATCTTTCCTCAATCTTTGGCGGCTTTGTTTCCAATTATTAAACAGCTAATGAGCTCCGAAGCACCAGGTGGCTGTTTATCACAATAACAACAGTTGATTGGGAAGTTTTCATGCTTGTAAACTGTTTAATAAATGTAACCAAAGCCGTCAAAGATTGAGAAAAGATGTACAGGTTCGTAAGTGCTTGAGTAAACACTTTCCTGAATCTGGCCCCAGGGCGGCTGCACAATTCCAACCCGTTCTCGACTCAAGTCCATTCCATCCGGCGGTCAACCCCACAGACGCATTCATAAATTTTTACATGCTGTTCATTCAAAACGGGAATTTTCTCAAATATGAATTAATATTATAATATACTAGCATATTGTGCATATATTGGCGTAGGTTAGGTTAGGTTAGGTTAGATATTTAGGTTCTGTTGACGATTATTTGTATTTGTAGTACGTGGGTGAAGCATTTACAGCATTGTGGTTCGAACACAAGTCGTTAGTGAAGCCCTTGTTCCGGAAGTGTTCGAACGTCATCAGTTGTGAGTCGTGTGTAAACCGTTTTTTATTCATAAACAGCTGGGGGTTGGCGGGTGCATGGAATCTCTTTTGGGTCTTTGTTTGGAGGACGGGCTGACAACTCACAGCTGATGACGTTCGAAATATTTCTCGAGTGGTGCTTCACTATCGACCTCTCTTCGAACCGCAACGCTGTAAATGCTTCCCCCACGTACTTCGAATGCCGAAAATTGCCAGCGGAACATGAACACCTAACTCAACCTAACATATGCCTAACTATACATAGAAATCTAATATATAACAATATTAATTAATACACGAGAACAAATGTATTTTTAATACACATTACGTTAAACGAAATATTTTAGACATTTATTTGTATAAATGACACAAGATTCACAGCCATCATGTAGGATTTCTCCTGTCCATCTCCTAGAACACGCAGAGTTACCAGGAGAAGAAGGCGTAATGTGACACTAAAAGCACTTCAACTTGTAAAAGGACATTTGCAAGCACATCCTCCATCAGAGGGTTGACGCCCTGGCCGGCCGCCCGGGACACAGTTGCCAACTAATGGAACACGGGGCACTAACACTTCACATTTTAATGTCAAAATATTTGGCAAAACCCTGAAAAGCTTTCATGTGATTTTTATATATATATATTCTTCTCCAGGTATAAACAGGAATTTATGCAAAGCAGGTGATCGCGGTGTTTAAACGAGGCTGTTAAGGAAGGCTTTTGATGGAGAAAAACATGTCTATAAATAGTAAGAGACATCTATGCTCTGGGAGCATTCAACGTTTGATCTGAACACAGAGCTACGGTGTGTTTACAGAGCTCTGTTATGTGAACACAGAGACCTACCTGAAATATTGAAGACTGCTAATGTGGTCCCAATATACAAAAAGGGTGACAGACAAGAGGCACTGAACTACAGGCCAGTGTCCTTAACTTGTATACCATGCAAGGTGATGGAGAAGATTGTGAGAAAAAACCTAGTAA